GCGTGCCGGCCGAGCGCACGGCGGCCGTGGTCCGCGCGGAGCTGGCCGCCGCGGCGCGCGCCGAGATCATCGGCGCCGAGGCCGGGGCGCGCGGGGGGATGCGGGCGGCGTGTCGCGGCGGCGCGCCGCCTTGCGCGCGGTCTGGCCGCGTTTCCCCTCCCGCGCGCCAGCGCCGAGGCGGAGCTGGTGGCGGGGTCGGTCCGAACCTCGGCGGGGCTGGAGGTTCGGCGCCGCCTCTTCGTGGAGGCCGGCGCTGATGCTGGCGCTGGCTCCGGCGACACAACGCACGTCCTGGCAGAGCTCCTGGGCTTTGACCCCGAGCTCGTGGTCCCCCAGCACCCAGGCTGAGCTGGCTGGTTTGTGCGAATGCCCCAGACCCGCGCTCGCTCTGAGCCTTCATGCCCTGCACCCGCTGCGCCGCCTCCGCCTTTCATGATGAACCAGATCCGGCAGTTTTCACGCCCTGCACGCCGACATGCGCTTTGCTGTGCCTGCCTGGCATGCTCTCGGTGATTGACAACCGGTTCTCCAAGCCCAATGCGGTGTTGTCAGGACAGCTTGTTCACGATGGCGCGGTGCAGCTGGCGCAGGCAGTCCGCGTAGGACCCGCCCGCGCTGCCCGCCTTGTCCTCCACCAGCGCGGAGAAGAAGGCATCCACCCCCCCCACTCCCGCCGGCAGCACGCGCGTGCGCAGCAGGCGCCCCCGCTGGCGGCACACCTCGTTCAGCAGCGCGTTCACGGCCGCGCTGAGCGGCGTCGCCAGGCGCGGCAGGGGCGCGGGGGCCGGGCCCAGTGCCTCCAGGCTGTGCGCGCCCAGCAGCCCCTCCAGGGTCGCAGGGGGCACGGCCTTGCCGAAGAAGACGCTGGCCTCGTACCTGGGCGCATGGGGACGGTGGTTTTTGAGGGTCGAGGGGGGTGTGAGTGGGTGGATGGCGTCTGAGCGAGTCATGGGCGGCAGGCAGGCGACGAGCGGGGCCAGGTATGCGCGCGATGCCAAACACCAGGGCCCCAACGAGCCACAGCAAGAAAGCACGGCGCACCCGTTCTCCAGGAGGTAGACGCCGTGGGCCTCGACAAAGGCGGCCGACAGGGGCAGGGCGTCCGGCAGGGGTGCGCCGGCCTGGGGCGCGCCGCCGCCGGGGCCGGCCAGCGGCAGCGTGTGCAGGGGGAGGAGGCGCGGGTACACGATGCTGGCCATGGCCTCCACGGGGCAGGTCAGCAGGCGGTGCAGCCACAGCGCCCGCTCGTCCAGCCGCGCGTCGTTCCTGCCCGGTGGAAGTGTGCTCGAGACGGGTTGTAATGGACGAGGGGGGTGACTGGGAGGAGCCAGTGATTCGCGGGGAGCAGCCCACAGGCGACGCAGCATGGAACCCTCCCCCCCTCTGACCACCCCCACGACGCCACGCCTCGCCTGAACAGCGCGTTCTTGCTCAGGCCCAGGCTGAAGAGGGGGAGGAGCTGGAGGGCCTCGGGCAGGAGCAGCTGCGAGGTGTCCGACTGCTGCGCCGCCTGCGCGCGTGATGGGGTTGTCGGGTGGGGAGTGGGGGTCGGGGGAGAGAGGCCGTCGGTCGGGGCGCCTCCCGGGCTCGACGCCCCACCTGAAAGCCGAGACGAGCACGACCACCCCGCCCCCCGTTTTCCTCGCACAAAGACACACCTCAAGCAGTCGAAACAAGGACCAACCCACCCACGTACGTGCTGGCGATAGGCGACCAGGAGGTCCACGGCAGCGGCCATGACCGCGTCGCGGCAGGCGCCCAGCGCCTTGCCAGGCGCCTGCGCGGCCACTCGGCGCGCGGTCAGCGCCAGCACCGCGTCCATGTCGGCACCGCGGAAGGCGCTGCTGCGCCCCGTGGTGATGGGCAGGGCCAAGGTGTGCACGCGCACGAGCCGCCGGCCGGCGGGCGAGGTGTAGAGCAGCGCGAACTGGGCGTACGCCTCCCCCGCTCCGCCAGCTTTCTCGTCCACCTCGATGGAGGCTGTGGATGGTTTTGGGGAGGGGGAGGGGGA